AATTTGAGGTGGGGCACAAATATTCAGTCCATAACAGCACTGAAGCCCAAGACTGAATTTGTTGTTTTCATAGGCTAGTTGTTTACATTTGTATTTTATACCGAGTGCTTTCCCTAGAACTGTTACAGTTTTAATAGGAAGGCTATGGTTTAGCCTGGTCAAATCTTCTACCCACTGAATATTTTAAGAGGATCTGGATTCAAGGAATTGCTGGAGAGGAAATCCTTAAATTACTGTTATTATTCTTGATGCAAGATTTACTATTGTTCTACCCTATGAAATGGGCTTGCTTCTCACTGGCAGTAGGGAAGCCATTTTTCTTCTTAGCCAGAAAAAATGTCAGGTATATGCTACATGATTATCAAATGGTTGTTTCACTACTGTAATGCAGCTTTAAGTTAACCTTGAAGTCCTGAGCTTGTCTATTAACTACAATAGCCACGTCACTAAAGTACTCTCTCAGTGTGAAATAAACTCAATAGACTTTTACATTTATTTTCTTAGTATTGTTGCTTTTATCATTACTGGACTTATGAAGGCTAAAAATGTATGGCTTTTTATATTTGCCTGTATAAAAATGTAGTTTCATTTATTGTGGCTTTTGTGTTAAAATTTGTCATAACATTATTTTCCTCTTATTAAAAAAAAAAACTGAAAGGGAATATAAAATGTATTAAGCCAGTAAATTAAAATGAATTTGGTATGTATTGGAAGACAGATATTTTATAGATGTCTTCTCTATTTCTGGTAAATCTTGACAGTTAATGTTTCTGGTAAATCTTGAGATCTCCCCAAGCAGAAGTGGACATTCTGCTAATGAAAGAACACTAGATGTCCAAGACTTGTGAACAGAAAGGGAAACAGAGAAGGGATGTTCTATTGAAGCTATTTTTAGAATTGTGTTGGTGGCGTAGATATTAATGTTTGGTTATAATATTGAAAAATTTAAGGGCATGGATATCTAATCTCTATCTTTATCTTTTTTTATAATTATCTCTCTTATATCCTACCTACCTCCCTCTTTCTCCCCCTCCCCATTTTTAAAATTAAGGAACTGGCTAGCAAAATTATGAGAAGGTATATATGAAAATATCTAGCACTTTGCCTAATAATTACTAAAAATATTCACATATTAAGCATTAATTTTAGTCTAATTTGAGAGTAGAACAATTAGTAAGTTTGAATGTTTTTGTAAAAACAGAACCATCTCCTTGTTGGTAAATGCAAATATTCAAACTGAAAGGAAAATCATGATAGAGAATGAAAAATTAAAAACCAGTGCGACTAGATGTTCTATCAAAACATTTACTCCATTGAATTAAAATTCAGACTTCTTTTAAAAAGTTTCTATGTTTGCTTACATATTTTTTCTTTTCTCTCTAATTGAAGAGAAAACATGGCACTAAAAACCAAACCCATATCGTATTATTTCTCACCTACCTACTTTGGTTGGCAGTCATCTTCAGAGCTATTTTAAGAGTCAAAGTGGAAGTGGCATGAATGACTGCAATTTGAAGGTAAAAGAGCATGGGGTAGGTTAGGGCAAACTACTCTAACCAACCATTAGAAGATATTGTTAAGGATAAAATTGCTCCTAGATACAGCAACTGAGGACTCAACTCATTATGCTAAGCAGCTGCTAGAATCAGTTTGCCTAGATAATATATTTTTAAAAAATATATTTTATTGATTTTTTTATACAGAGAGGAAGGGAGAGAGATAGAGTGTCAGAAACATCGATGAGAGAGAGTCATCGATCAGCTGCCTCTTGCACACCCCCCACTGAGGATATGCCCGCAACCAAGGTACATGCCCTTGACCGGAATCGAACCCGGGACCCTTCAGTCCCCAAGCCGACGCTCTATCCATTGAGCCAAACCGGTCCTGGCAGCCTAGATAATATTTTAACAATAAAGTCTGAAACTTATGCAGATCACCACAATAAATTTCTTTTTAAAAATTAAATTTATTTGGGTGACATCTATAGTAATAAGAGCATAATATTAGACTGGACCTCCTTCGGGACAAAGCCAGGCTGTGAGGGAAGCCAGTGCTGGCAGCCGGGGGGAGAAGGCCTACTCTTAAACGATTTTCGTGCATTGGGCCTTTAGTTAGTTAATAGGATCATATAGGTTTCATGTGTGGCTTTCTAACTTACAAGATCTATATATTGCACTGTACCACCCAAATCCATCATGGTGGTCCCATGTATTAGGTCCTCTGTCACCATACATTAGGTCCTCTTCACTTCCTTCCCCTTCCCTCTGGCAACCACCACACTGCTGGTTATGTCCACAGTTTCAGTTTTGTATCCCAAATATGAGTGAAATCATATTGTTCTTAGCTTTTTCTGCCTGACTCATTTCACTTGGCATAATATTCCACGTTGTCTCAAATGACAGTATTTCATCTTTTCTTATGTCTTAGTAGTATTCCATTGTGTTTATGTACCACATCTTCTTTATCCAGTCCTCTATTGAAAGACATCTTGGTTGGCTCCATGTTTTGGGCCACCATGAATAATGCTGCAATGAACATAGAATAGGAGTGCATATATCTTTGTGATTACGTGTTTTTGAATTTTTTTGGGTATACTGTATACCCAGGAGAGGGATTGCTGGAGGTATATGGTAGCTCTGTTTTTAGTTTTTTGAGGAATTAAGTCAAAATAGATCAAAGGCCTAAATATAAGATATGAAACAATAAGTTAGAAGGAAGAAAGCGTCAGAACTAAACTTAAGGACCTTGACATAGAGAACATCTTATGGACTTGATTCCAAAGGCAAGGGAAATAAAGGCAAAAATAAATGGATAAATTTCTTAGAGCCTTCTCCTTTCCCCTTCCCACTCTTTCACCCCTTGGGCAACAGGGGTTCGGGGTGGGGGACAGGACTCACGAAACAAAACTTACTCAGTTTACATGCCAGATTCTGTGGGTTTCTTTGTATTTCCATAGCATCTTAGGAAAAGTGGTATGGGAGTTCTTAGCCAAACTAACATATGAATTGTAAGTCTGCTTGTCTGCCATCTCTTAAACTCAGTGAAGAGAGAAGTATGATCTTACTGGGTTCCCTCCTCCTGTACCTGGAGGGCAGATTATGAGTTAGACCTGGGTCACTTCTACTTATTTTGTGTGCAGTATTAAGTATCCTAACAGAGTGAATGAATATGCGATATCCTTCCATTTATTTCTTTATCTAAAAAGTGCCACCCAGCTCTTTTTCCCAAACAAAACAAAAGTTTTATCCCTTCCTTCTCAGTTTTCATGGTACTTTTTTTCAGTTTCTCAGTTGTAGCTATCCTATTAATAAAAGCCTGTGTGGTCATCATGCCATAATGCGGTGACGCCCTCAAGATGCAGCAAGCAATCACCAGGAGGCTGCGGCTGGGCGGGAGCTTGACACTGCAAGTGTGGTGCGGAGGCGGGGCCCATGGCTCTAGCATACCTCTTTGGGGCAGTCCATCCAGGAGCCCCAGATGGGTGGGCAGGGCCTACCTCTTTGGGGCAGTCCATCCAGGAGCCCCAGATGGGTGGGCAGGGCCTACCTCTCTGGGGCGATGGATAGATTGCAGGGCTCCTGCACTGTGAGAGGGCACAGGCTAGGCTGGGAACCATCCTCAGCCACCCCTCGCCCCCCTTCCCTGCCCAAATTTCATGCACCGGGCCTTTAGTTACATTAATTATATTATGGGTGTTTATGTATATGTCTATCTTTATAAAATTGTGAAGTTTTTTGTGAATCGGAGCTATGTATTATTTGGGTTGGTTTTTCTTGGCAGTTGGAATAATTAATACAGAGCATTGATTTAATATTTATAAATAAATGAATCAAAATTTTAATTTCGATGGTAGTTTTTCAGAAGGCAAGCTTGCTGTTTGAGACACAAAATTGAGTAAGACTCTTGCCTTCTGGAAATTCAAAATTTACTCATTGTTCAATCAGTATTTATATGTCGTGTGCTAAGGAGATGATCACAAAAATTCTTCCATAAAGAAACTAGCGGGGTATTATTTCCTTCGATTAATAGTATTTCATGCTATGTATTAGTATTTCCTAGGTAATTTTAGGCTGTAATCAACCTGTAAATTCTATAGAAGACAATAGGACATTCAGATTTACTGCCTAATTCTAATCTATGTTGCATGTATGTTTATCACATAGTTACAGATTGGCAAAGGAGGAGTGATGAAGACCAGAATGATGTAGCACACCTAAATATTTTCCTGATTCCATAAGCCTGGCTTAATAATACTTGAGGCTGGCAGTACTGATTATTCATAAATAATGGTGGTAGATTTATATCTTCAATGCTGATAGTGCTTCTGAGTAGTATTGTCATAAACAAATAAAAACATGAGTTATACTTTTTCATATATGACTAATTCATTAACTCTCCTGGTTCTAACACATTTCTAATATTTTACAACTTTAACAGAGAGTTTAATGTTGCCCTGAATTCTCCAGTTTCTGAATTCTATTTCTTAGTCCTAAATGAAAGCATAATTAATTTGAAGGAATTTTGACATAGCAACAAAAGTTCTATAGATTTCATTATCTTCTGAATTTGGACTTAAACCGTATTTCCATTCTTATATAGCATTCATTAATATAAACAGTAGCTTCATATTTCTCTTCTTACAGAACAGCGAGTATACATTTTAGTAACATACTTGGAATTTGATATAATTGATAAATTTGGTTCTTTTGGAGAAAATACATATGCAGACAATAACATGATTTGCAGAAAATTCTTACAGATGCAAAATATGTAGAATTGAAGTTTAAAAACACCTTAGTAGAGAAGGAGTTAACAGGTTAGCTCCCCTTAGTTGTTCTCAGCATGCTCTTTTGCTTTTAGGAGCTGAAAAGATGATAACATTGGGTCTGGACATGCCTGTGTGGAGGTTATGATACTCCTGGGTTTTTTTGCAGCTAGCTGTAAAGCAAGCCAGAACTTGTTCATCTCAGAGTTTCTTGTTTTTCTTTCAACCCTTTCAGTGCCCTGCAGGAGTCATTAAATCAAAACTTCATGCTGATCATCACCCACCGAGAAGTCCAGCGGGAGTATAACCTGAACTTCTCAGGAAGCAGTACCATTCAAGAGGTGAGTTATGTCTCACAGCTAAGGAATAAAGGTAGCTCATTATAACTAATGTTGACCCTGTTAAAGAGGGCTTATCTGTTCTGGTTGGAAACTCGCTTATGTTTCATTATTGGGTTCTTAAATTTAATTAACTGGAGCATCATGATTACTGTAGATATATTAAGTGATTTGACCTAGAAAGACAGTATTGTAAATGGGAACTCTTGATAATTCTTAAAATAGTCATCTTAAAACTCTGCTTAAAATATTCATTATTATGTAATATATTTGTAGTTTTATGGTAATTATTCAAAATATTAATTTGGAAATTGTTGTCAGCATGCATTTTTGAACATGCACGTATTGTATTTGAAATATATTAATTAAAATGTGTATTCTGTTTCCAAAAAGAATTTGAGGAGGCTTTTTATAAGCAGCTCAATGTCAATGTTGGGCAGCATTTGAGGAATGCTGATGGAAACTTTCAGTCATTTAACTCAGAATATCTGAGAAAAGTCTTATTTATAGTCAGGATCTTTTTTTCTTCTATGTAGCCAACCAGGGCCAGTGTTTCAAAAAAGAACCTCCCCCAAGAAAGAAGAGGTATCTTATTGCCTGTGACCCCACCTACCTAAAAGCCAGTAATTTATTTCCATGGGGGGAAAGTGTGTAAGGCTATGCCAGGACTTAGGTTCAGAAACACTGAAATGATGTTTATGTCACATTACCCCTTGTAAGTTGTAAAGACATCAGTCATTTTGTCTACTAATGCTTTTACAAAGAGGATTAATCATATATTGAATATAACTAAGAAAATTTAGTTTAAAAATAACTCCAGTTTAATCAAGAAAAGCAAAGATAATGCGTAAATTTTATCCTGTTGATTAATTTTTTTAAAATTGAAGACTAATATAATGCATTATGGATAAATACAAACTGCTCTATTTGTTTTTCAGAATGAAACTTTTATTGCTAAAATGTTACCTTTTTTTTTCATTTCCAGTTTCTGTAGTTTGAGTGTATTTCTGCTTTTTCCCACAAGAGGGCAGAAAGGACTATTAAACTGATAATCTAAAAATGCCATTTAGTGTTTTCAAATTAGCTTTTCTTATATTAACAAAAAGGAGCATAATGGCCAAATTATTGTTTGATTTATAGATAATTGGCATATTGCAGGGAAGAGACTTAATTTCACCCTTTTAAATTAAACAGGGAGATTTAAAAAGACATAAAATATTCATTAATGTTCGGTGATTATAAAGTAGTGGCATATATTTATTTTGCCTTTATTACTGTTTCGATGGGAAAATACTGCAAATATTTCCGAAATCGAGTTGGCCATACTGACAAGTTGAAATGTTTAAGCAGCATTAATGCAATCTGCTCACACCTGATATCCTATGCAGAATGATTCAAAATGACTACATCAATTATTAAGAGAAATATTTAAAATTCTGTAAATGTACCATTATGCGCCACAGTTGGCTGAAACTGTTCTTCATGGCCTTCTAGTTAGGTTACCAAATACATATTAAGCTTCAAGGACTTGAAAATCGTAAATCTTTTTTCATACCATTTTCTAAATGAAAAATGTCCCAGAAATATTTTTGCAAAGACCGATATTCTTATGTATTTCTTGGCAAGAATTTGGTTTTGTCTATTTCATTTTTCTTTTTCTCCTTTTTAAAAAATTTAAAATAATACTTTGAAATGCTTCTTGCCAAGAAAAAATAAATCCAGTTGTTTCTAATATCAGTTGCTTTTCTGTGTGTAAACCATGTACACATAGGCTCTTTATTCTGTACAATTTAGAAGAAAGACATGGATTATTCATTTTAGGCCTAGGATCACACCCTTTAGGTCTAATCCTAAAACTTCCTCCTTTAACTTTGGAATACCTGGTGAGGTGGAGTTTCAGAAGGACAAGATGCTATTATGGTACAGCCATGCAATCTACAGTAACACCTAAGTTTTTGTTTTTGTGTATAATTGGAAGTCAGTTTGCTATAATCTTTAAAAGCTTTTGCAGTGTTATTTTATAAATGCTAGAATTTTTTGCTGTTAATGTGGAAGCTTAATGATGTCATATATCCTAAATTGTAAATTAATTTCTTTTACCAGTTTCAGAGATCTCTTTTCAGTGTTTTAAAATAGATCCAAGAGTGAATTCTGATCAATATATGAAGAAAAGTAAGAAATTTAAAAAATGACACATTTATTTTCTAGTGTTGTAGTATAGTATATCCTTGTTATAGGAGAAAATAATATATCATTTTTTGGTTATTTTAATTTTTGAAAACCTTGCAGTTTTAAAAGAACGCGTTTGTAATATTTTTCTCTCAAAGGGAAATTTCTATTAAATGAAATAAAGTTGAAAAGGCACTATGATTTCAACTTTTAGTGAAACAAAATACACTTTTAAAAATATTGACTTAGAAAATAGATCTTAAAAGCAGTTAGAATTTCAAATAAACTCTTCAGTGACCGACCATATGTTCATGCAAGTTAATAGTGATAAACGGAGTTGTACAGTGTTTATTCTGGTCTGTGGACTCTTGCATATCTTATGTCCTTTGGGTGTTCTAGATTTTAATTTAAGCTAGTTAGATATCAATGTGTGTTGGGGTTTTTTGGTTGTTGTTTTTAAAACTCTTTACAAATTCTTCCACTTACAATATCCTCCTACTTGAAGAAAAGGCAGAGATAATATAAAAAGGTCAGAATGGAGAGTTACAAGTAGTTATAAAAATATCCTTTCTCTTTTCCATTATGTGAAATAGTTTGGAAATATCTAATAATAGAATAATAACTTTGTGATAATGTCTTCTTACATTTTTGGTTTCTACATTACTTATTTGTCGCACTTTAAAATAGTGAATTTCCTTGAAAATTTAAACATGCTTACTTTATCTTAATGGATATTCTACATAGAGAATTCAGCTTTTTAAACAGTTAATTGTACAGACTCTAGTAATTCTGTATAATACTGTTAAAGATCTGTGATTACAAATGCACTTGGGATTGGTTAAATTAAGAAGGGGAGGGGAGTAGATTGATTTGCCTACTGCAAATCCTAAACCCAGGTGTGGAAAAGGATATAAAGTCTCTGAAATCAAGCCAACTTTTCTTGGAAAAGAATTCTTTGTTGTCCATCTTACTACTGCAAAGCTTTTAGTGGGCAGAATATCCACTTTTTTTTTTTTTTATAGATGTCATACAAATTTAAGAAATACAAACATGACCCAGAATAACAGTGATAAGTATTTTGTGTGTGGAATCATTAAGTATTTCCTGTCTGTTACAGCAAGAAGTACGATGAATAGTTATTAGAATTATTTATATCTTCTTCCAAGTTTCACTTTACCCTAGAATTCCTCTCTGTTTTATTAATGTTGATTTAGCTCTTAATGGTAATAAAGGGAAAATTGACAAACTATAAAGATATATCTTGCATGGAATAGTAAAACATTTCACTACTATTACTAGCCAACAATTTGAATTAGCAATAAGATAACTAAGTACATAAATCATACCAGTTCTTAAAAATAATTTTGGCTACCTAATTGTGAAATCATGAAGCTAATTCTGATTTTGCAAATTCAAAACTTGTGTTCAGTTTTGTGTCTTTTTTTCTGCTTGCTACTTTCTCAACTTGCTTGGCTAACATATTTATAACTATTCTTTATTGTTGGAGGTTATTAACAGTAATTAAATATGTAGGTTTTTTGTTTTTTTTTTAACAAATTGTACTAATGGGCAATTTTCTAGTTGTGAGTTGACTATAACTTCTTAAGTATAATAGCATGCCCTTTCTGTAAATGTTTTAGGTTTAGTGGTTTTTGTTTGTTTGTTTTCCAGTTTGGGGATAGGGTAGGGGATGCTGGCACAGAACTCAAGACCAGGGTAGCTTAGAATGTGCATATTCAAAAGGTTAAATTAAATTGTGTGCTTATTTAATTAAAAGTTTAAGTAGTTTAATTTTATTGCAAGACAAATTCCATAAATAAGCTCAATTAGAGTGAGCCCATTTTAATTACTATATATCATAGTTTGGTTTTTTAAAACTTGAAATCACAAATGACATTTTAGCAAGAATGAAAGAAATGTAATTTCTTAAGCAACTGAGCAATGAATTACTAAGCCTTTATTCAGCTTTCAGAAAAGGAGATTATGAGTTTCTTTCAAATATGCATGTATATTATTAGTTTCAGGTTACATTTTATAACGGAGATCAGTTGACATTAGTCCATTTCAATTGAACAAATCAGTAATGACCATTTTATAAATGTTGAGGTTTTAATAAATTATTCTCTTGGGAAATAACTTTAAGTAATATTTACAATGCAGCCATTTGGAACTGACAAGTCTTTTTCTGCCTCTGAAAGTATTTTAGAATAATCTCTATTGGAAATTATTTTTAGCTCCTGTAAGTGTTTCTTCACCTTCATTTCAAGAAGATAGAAACAATGAATTTTTATTAGGAATTAAGGACAATGTTTAGTCCTTTGTTACTTAAGATATGTGTATTCTGACATCTACTTGGCTGATCACATTTCATAATCTGTGATTTGTGGGCTGGTAGTTTTGAAATGCCTGGGTTAGGAGAAATTATGTTCAGTTATCAAAAACTAATAAACATAAGACATTTTTATATGCAAGAAAAGGCAGAGAGTAAATAATTGCACTGGTGACCAATACTGTAATAATCCTGTTTTACAATATGCACTTGACAGGTTGTAATAGTGCTAATTGAAGAGACTAATTCACACTTGCTTCATTCTATTCAAAGGCAAAATCAGCAGCTTGTTTTGCTTTTGACCAGATGGTCCTCATGAACACCTACTGTGCACTTTAAGTGCTTTACTAGAATTACAAAGGCTGGGGGCTGCGTTCGACTCCAAATGATTTGAGAAGAGGGAGAGAGAAGGAGGGGGAAAAAACCTTCTGTGCTCAATGGATTTGGTGCAAGTAAATTAATTCTAGTGGACCCATTACACACTGAGCTCCCTTTTCAAAGCTCT